TATTCATAAGCTGTCATTGTAATTCATTCTGCAGATATTGAAGATTCTGTAAAGCATATTGATTAGTTCCCATTGTCATAACCTGGTGTACCGAAGCCTTTGAGATAATACAGACATGTTACAGTGGACATCTGTATCCTCAGAAAAAGAATATTTTAACAAGTTGGTATGACTCACTTATGAAGCTCCATATGCTTTTTATATACTGCCGAGAAACATAGATGGTTAACCCCAAAGCAAACAAAGCGATTTGTTTTCGATGATTCCGAAACCCTAAAACGGAGGGGAAAAGAGCTGATCAGAGGAATTCAAAGCCAGTGAACTGTTAAAGCCCTGTGCACGCAAGGTGTGATACACACTGAAACCAAAAACAAAAATCACAATGACCAGCAGAACAACTAGCAACAAAATGAAAAACTTTGGAAGATCCTTGAGACCTAAAATGAAGGGAAAAAGTCATATCAGTGTTTTTATCCCTTTGATGCGACATTTCTAAACTCATTCAGATTATTTTACTCTACTTTTAGTCTGATCTGACACAGAAAAAACTAAATACAGTTTGAAAACCTGCTACTAATAGAAAGCACATATGTTGAAAATATCCAGTATTAGAGGTGATCAAACTCCACATAAATACACTGGAGTAACTTAAGAAAAGCGTTTATTGTTCTTTTCTTAAACCATGTACTGAATAGATAAGTACTGATTTTAATATATCTGACCTCATCCTATATCTAAATGTCCTCTTTAAGTACAGAGTTTTCTAGTTACGTTCATCTATCAAATGTCCCAGAATGATTTTTGCATGTCTAAAGTGTCTGCATGAGTAAAGCACAAATAAACAAACCAGTGGGATTAAATGATCTGATTCATAACTGCTGTCAAACTTACATCTGATCAGCATCCAACCTGTTGGGCCCTAAAACCAGAAAAAAAAAGAAAAAAGAGTGAGCTATAACATTCATTAAGTGTTAGGAAACAATAGGAAACAGTCATTCATATTTAATGTATTTACCTCAGAAATGGGAATATTCAGGAGTTTCTGGATTTCACCCCACGAGATGTCGTTTCGGGAACATTTGAGGAGTTTACCCTCATAAAACAGACAGTCCACAGTGAGACAGACGTTGTGGTTGTTGACTTGCCTCCTGCTGTCAGCTACAACACGATTAGGATCGAAGGTCTGATGCATCACCACCAGGACTGCAGGTTT